ATTTGCCTATCAGCCAGGCAAATCCACAATAACTGCTTCACGCTGCCTGGTTAGAGACATCGAAAGGACAATCCAGTGCAAAGAGATCGCTCTCACAGCATTCTTTGACATAGTGGGTGCCTTCGATCACACCTCACATCAATCAATTGCTAGAGCCTTACAAGAATGGAATGTTGAAGTCCCAATTGTAAAATGGATAGACTCGATGTTGAAACACCGTGACGGCTGGAATAAACGAAGCATCAGCTACCGCTACCACGGTCAGAGGGTGTTTTCAAGGGGGCGTTCTTTCTCCACTACTATGGACACTAGTGGTAGACAAAATTCTCACCAGACTGAGTAGTGCTGGATACCAGGACATATGATCTGGCCATTATAATCAAGGGCAAACATGAAGGCGTAATAACAAGCCGAATGCAAAGTGCTCTAAACATCGTTGAAAATTGGAGCGAAGGCGAGGGATTATCCCTAAACCCAAGCAAAACAATTCTTATCCCGTTCACAAGAAGAAGGAAGCTTAATTTGAAAGTCCCCATCCTTAACGGTAGACAACTAACATTTTCCAACGAAGTGAAATACTTAGGGGTCACCCTGGACCGAACACACACCTGGAACAAACAGTTAGAGAAAACATGTTCTCGAGCTATATCAGCCATCTGGTCATGCCGCAAACTAGTTGGTAAAACATGGGGGCTAAAGTCAAATATGGTTTTCTGGATTTACCAAACTATAATAAAGCCAATAGTCACATATGCCTCATTGGTATGGTGACCCAAAACTCAGCAAGTCTCCGTTCAGATCAAGCTGAGCAAGGTACAAAGGCTGATATGCCTAGGAATAACAGGAGCAATGTCGACCTGCTCCACCGCAGCCCTAGAGACGCTGCTTAACATGCCTCCACGTCACCTATGTGTGAGAAAGCAGGCAATAATCAGCGCTAACAGGCTATTCCAAACAGACAAATTCAAGCCTGGTGATCTGAGGGGACATCTGCGCATCCTCGAAACAATAAAACTGGAGAATGCCAGCAAACCAAGTGACCACATGCTGGTCAGAGTGGGCTTGGAGATCCCATTCGCAGTGGTAATAAACGAACGCCAATCATGAGAGAATAAAGAATTACCACAAGCAGACAATGCATCTCTGCGGTACACAGATGGATCCAAACTAATGGAAGGAGCTGGACTGAGCATTTCCGGCCCTAACTTCAAGCTCTCCAAGGCATTGGGCAAACATCTTAGAATATTTGAAGCCGAACTGCTTGCCATGAACATATGTGCACAAGAGTGTCTCAACCAAAGCCTTGAAAGAAAACACATCTTTATATTATCGGAGAGCCAAGCTGCCCTTAAAGCCTTAAGGGCTTCCAAATGCGCGTCAAAACTAATCTGGGAGTGTAAACAGACCCTAAAAATACTCGCGACACACAACCAGGACACGCTGATGTGGTTGCCTGGTCATCGAGGCATAGAAGGAAACGAAGAAGCAGATGGCCTCGCAAAAGAACGGGCCTCAACACCATACCATGGACCAGGGCCCTTTTGTGGCCTAATGAAAAGCCACATCATGGAAGAAATCGACAAGTGGAAGAAAGACCAACTGCCATCATATTGGAGGCACACTCTGGGAATAAGACAGTCAAAAAGGTTTATTACCTTTTCAGCAAAAAGAGCTGAACAGCTCCTAAGCATGAGTAGACCAGACATCAGAATGGTCGTAGAACTGCTCACAGGATACTGCCTGGTGAAATACCACTTAAGGTTAATGGGCAGAGCAGAAGACGATCTCTGCAGATTCTGCTCAGACTCAATAGAGACCGCAGAGCACCTGCTCTGCAAATGTCCAGCCCAATTCTGCAAGAGGCTCAAATTCCTCGAGGAGGCAACACTGTCAACAGAAGAAGTGGGCCAACCGACACCCAGAAAAATAGCTTTTCTCGGCTGAAGTCTACGTTTCCTGGAGACAATTTAAGATGTAGAGTCGGCTACAAAATATCTGCTAAAGCTAGCAGTGCTGAGCGGCTGGAAAGTCGAAACGACTCCCCCCACAATCTACAAGGCTGTAGTGCACATCGGGACATGAGCACGCCTGGCCCGTCCTCAAACCAAGATTTGCGAGGTATGCCATAGCGTATAACTTGAAGATGAGATCGAAACCAAACTGAAATGGTCCCTCTAAATAATTCCATAAAACTTCAATTTCAAAAACAACAGCCTATGATCAGGACGATAAAAAGCCTGGTATGCATCTCCCAAAAATCTGAAAATAGCGTCAAGTTGACAGTCAGTCAAGACATTTGAGGAATGCTGACAGTTTGAAAACAAGCCGTTTGACAAGAGGAAAAGTCAAAAGCTCAGGCCTTTACGGAAACGCTGATCCGATTAACCCGATCAGCAGCTGTTTGTTTTTCATCTCTCTTCCATGAACACGATTGAAAAAAGACAAATTATCTCAGCTGGAGATAGGTTTATTCGTTCAACGTTTCCGTAAAGACCTTTTAGCACTTCCCTCACTAACCTCAAATAGAACTTGACAGTACCTCGACTTTGGAGATTACCTCAGCCCATTGATGCCTGTAAGCGTTTGGCTGGTTTCTTATCAACAGTGGAACAAATAATTAAACTACCTCAACTTCAAGCAAAACAAATAATAACTGAAAATTTCAAGTCAAAATCTAGCTCAAAATTACTATATTAAATTTTAAATGAACAAACACTTTGTATAAAAAAAGTAGGCAAAGGCAATAATAGGAAGCAACTAGGAAGCGTTCCCATTTACTGTTATTGCACCTTACAGGATGTTTGAAAACCATAAGTAGTTGAGTGAACTTAAGATGACATAAGATTAGGGCATAAAGTTAACCCAGAAGGGGATTTAAATAAAATGTTGCCGTCTGGAAATTATCAGTGGCGCACCATTATAGAACAAGCGAACATTATTACTGTTGGTAGCTTTTCCAAAATGTGAAATATTAGCATGGCTAATAGTGTTATGAAGAGCTGTGATTTCAAGATCTCCTCAACCTTTCGGCCATAATACACTGTACAAACGAAGTAAATGGGTAGATGCAGCTGAGAAAAAAATGTTTTGTTGAGAACGATAGAATTTGCTGTAAGCGTTATCCCTGTGTCAAAGCTTATTTCAAATGTTTACAGTATCTTTGTCTCTCTGACTTTAAGCGAAAAATTAGTGGTATTTACAGGATTATCAATTAATATACAGTGTCATTACTTAAGTGTGCAACATATGGGATTTTTTTTTAGAGTAATAGCACAAACAAAATACAAACAAGGCCAAAAGTTGGTGCATGTCTGATAATCATATTAGGTGCACTTAGAATGGTTGCAAATCAAACAGCATACAGGTTAGCTCAAAAAATATCAAAATTGTAGTAATATTTATTTGAATAAAATAAAACTTTTGCACTTTGAGGAGAGTTTTTTTAATATGGCTATTATCATTAGTAATGTTTTAACTTATTAAAAAAAAATTGTGACATTTTAAAGTTGTGTTGAATATCATTGCAACAAACATGAATTTTGTGATCCATAAAAAATTCAAAATCTAAGTTAATTTTACAAATATGCTTGAATTTGAACAAAGTTATGTAAAATTGATTTGATTTTAATTAATTTTTGAAAGTTTAAGGGCGGAAATAAAAAATAAAAAAAATATAGAAATTATAGATTTTTTTTGAAAAAAAATAAAAAAAATCTTAGGAGGCTATGTTTTGGTATTTAGGCATAACTTTTAATTTCAAACAACTTTTCTCTATAACATTTTGCTGAATTTTCTAAAATAAGGGTACTTTACAGTACCAGCTTTGATATTGTTTGAGCTACCCTGTATGCTGTTTGACTTGCAACCATTCTAAGTGCACCTAATATGATTATCAGACATGCACCAACTTTTAGCCTTGTTTGTATTTGGGTTGTGCTATTACTAAAAAAAATCCCCATATGTTGCACACTTAAAAAATCACACTGTATAGAAAAAATCAAGAGAGAAAAATGCGTACACAAAATGTTTCCATTAGTAGATAAAAAAGTTACTTGGCGAGTGACATTTTGCTACAAAACCACAAGCCGCCAGGCTGGCGGTTTTTAAAAAAATGTCATGATTCAGTTGACTATGCATATGCAAAAGAGAAAAATGTGATCAGCAAATTTTTTTCTCGCGTGGTATTTGACACGACTATTCTACGTACATAAATTATTTCAATTAATTATTATGGCGTTTCCTTCTAATGTCAAAATTTTGCTGCTAAAAAGTTAAGTAGTTAGCTTTTCTCAGTTAAATATTTTGCCACCTGATTGATCGTCGTTTTATTATCGTCAGATTGATTTTCTCTCAGAAGCTATTATAAACAACATTTTCTCGCTTTATGCGTTACTAAACCTGATTAATACAGAGTCTTTTTTTTTAATCTTTTCCAAAAATTTTCATTTCTGAAATAATAGTGGTGATCTCAGAAACGGAAAATTTTGGAAAAAATGTCCGAAACACTTCAATTATAATTTAAAGGCGGATGCGTTTGCATGCAAAATTCAACTCTCACCTTTCAGTCCCGTAGCCCTCAGAGCCACTTCCTGAAAATTCCTACATAGGGGTCTCTGCTGTCACCGTAGATATGACAACTTGTCAAAATCTTGAAGAGAGTGTCTATAGGTCAAAACTATGTGCATTCTCAAAATTTTTTATGCCGTTAACCTCGGGCAAAAGTAGGGTTATGTTATGTTTGTAAAGTTTTTCTTTCTGTTTCCATTGTAAATGAACGATTCAAATTATTTGTATATGTATCATGCGTTTCTTTTTAGACAAGCGAGTTGCAAACTGAGTTAATTTAAATGCAATATATTCAGTACCATAGATTACCGCTTACCTAGATGACAAAATTAAACATTGTTTTTATCTATTTGTTGTGTCCCGAATATGGAAATATATATTTCGTAACGTTACAGTTTATTTTTCTATGTATTTCAAAATATATCATAACTTACCTAATTGTTGGGAAAATTAAATTCTCTGTCCTGCACATGAAAATATATTTTCCGAAACGTCGGCATTTCTGTTGTCTTCAACATTTTGATCAATCAATAAGGCACCGCCATTGAACTGTAACAGATCGTTATATTAATAACCATCCTTAAAAAAATGGTTTTTGACAAATTTCTACCAGTACAATGATTCAAACATTTTGAAAGTTCCCATGATAATTGAATTTCGATAGATTAAAAAAAAAGTCTGATGGTTCTTTAAAAGACAAATCCAACGACATTGTGGGGTTTTAAATTATCGAATGAAACAATTTTGTATACGTGGAGAGAATGATGTCTGTATCCCAGATGTGCGATTTATAAAATAAGTATTACTTTTAATTTAGTTGAATTTAATGAGTGTGTTTCTCACCTTGGAAGAATTGTTTAAAAAATAAAACTTTCTAGATTCGCTTGGATTTTATAATGTTTGGTATGTTCTTGGTTCAGAAATTTATCGCCCGAACAGAACTTTCCTTATTCAGCGATTTTTTTCATGCTTATTGCGCTTACCTGGAAATTATTTTCCAGTCTATATATCTTATATCGATCCGCAATCCACGAGCTGGAAACGTTATGTCACAGGCTTGTTGATTGGAAAATTCAAGGTGAAACCTTCGTGGAGGCACAATCGATGGCTGACCGATATTTTCTAAAGAAAAATTATCTTATTCTAGCAGACTGTTTTTCAATTCAGTCCCAGTCATGCTTCTTGACTTTAAGTAGCTTGAATTCAAGAATACTAGTCATGAATTCAATTTGTATAGTAACACTCTTAACTTTTCTCAATTACATACTGGTTTGGGCGGTTTGGCAGTCTACTAGATAACAAATATAATTCAATAAGATTGATAAAGTGACACATTATTTTACCAGTAATTTAGCAAGCAATAAAATATGTAACATCAGACGCATGGTCGGAGATAAAATACCTACAATGTGTAAAAGCTAAAAGGCACATGTAGGGTAAAATTTGAGAGTCGGCTTGAAATCAGCAATCAGTAATCTTTCTAAAACGCATGTTTTTACTCAACATTCGCGCAAAATTTTATCTTCCTTCTGCGATAACACGATTGCACCCGGTAATCAGTTGACTTGCTGATAACAGAGATAAAATTTAAAAAAATCGTTGTTTTTACATTTTATTATTCGTAAAATATTTAGTTGTATGAAATTTAATTCAAAATATTTGAATGACTTTTTCAAATTTAATTCAAAGAACGAGAAAATACGGCACTTTCGAGCAGAAATACCTAGAAGGTTCATACATGCCGAAAAAATGGAGACACTCAAAGTTTGGCTCAAGCCATTATATTTTTTATAATCAATATGGGTTCCATGTAAGATAAATTTCTAATAAAGTTTCAAGTTAAGAGGCAGGCTTGAAAATTTGAACATACAAGCTCTGGTTTCTAAGGTTATTTACAGATTTTTTACTTTCGTGGGACAAGCACGTTGAAAACTAAAAAAGCTGATATTGTGAAGCTTAGAAAGTATGTAAGCCTAAATGTATTTCTGATACATTTTGTCTCTTCGTCTTCAAATTACTGTAGTGTCACGTATTCAGGTTCCACTAAAACTCACTTTACGAACAATAACAACGTTTATTGAACAAAATTGACTTATCACTTTATGTATACATAAAAATCTCGTATTTAAACTGAGCACAACAACACTCTTATTCAAGCCGAACTGATTGAATCACATTAGGTCTGTTCGAACACGTCAAAAACCGTCCCGTGAACGGTTTGAAAACCACTCTGTGTACGAATTCCAGATTCTACGCATACATTTTAGGCTTTGCGCAGAATCCTGATGGTACATTGTACTACTTTCAGTTGTAAAGAAGAGAATTTTGCATGCTGTTTTAAATTTAAATAAAGGATACGTAATATCTTCTCGTGAGTGCTTAAATAATGGTCAATTAAAACTGTACTAGTAGTTTGTCTTCAACAATAACCGTCTACAACTTAAAATTCAATTACATGTTACATAAACTCAATCAATAAATTGCCACCATCTCAAAAAAAAAATTGCATTTGTTTAAATCAAAGGTGAAATAATATTGCCATTATTGAGATTCAATTATCATTTAGCGTAAGTAAATATGTTTAATGGCGAATTCAATTACCGCTAATCTTGAATTTATGTGTCAATTCTCTCCAACTTTGTAACATATTTTCAAACAATTGTGTTTTGATTTGGGTGTTTGTTTAAAAAAAAAAATTGCCAAGCCAGAGCCATCTACTGCTAAAGGATTATTCATCATCTTCCAGATTTGCATTGAAGATACAGACACATATTTTACGTAAGACTTAAAGACATTTTATTGACATATGGCGCACTGCTCGCGTTACTGTCGGGCTTTTTAAATTTGTTCTCGATCTGTTCCTATGGGACAATCATTGTTTTGTGACATCAAAGTCCAGTTTCCTGGGTATCCTGTTTAACATATTTATTCAAAGCTCTGATTGATGATTAATTTAACCTGTCATTTAGATATGTTTTCCAATCTATAAAGTTTGAAAGTTCTCATGAACGTAAAACAGACAACTCTGAAGTCGCTTCAAAACACTTACTTAACAACACAAAAAAGACGAAATTCTAGACCGGCGAACGAAAGCTTAACATAAAATATATAGTGAAAGTGTCAGAAATAATAAACATGGAAAATTTAGCGAATCATCTTTATGGTCACAGCTCGGGTCACAGAGTTTGTGATTCCATAGGATATTAATCATTTCGAAGCTGTATCGTTTCGAATCGAAGACTTCCATAGCAGACTCTCTCACGCTGGTTGATTCTGAGCACGTTCTCATTTTCATTCTATATATAAATGTTTTCCTGATCCCGGCCCTGTTGAATTCTTCTTGTTTTGCTTGTTAGCCCCGATCTTCTTGTTGATGTGAAATTTCTCCACAGTCGGTCCTATTTTCCATCTTGTCTTTTTTTTCTCTGGCCTTCCTTTTCTTGCCTTTCTTCCTGCTTTCGGGCTGCCTATACTGTTTTGCTTTCTGTCTCCAAGCTTCTTGTTGTTGGAAGTCCACCAACATTTGATTAACTTACTCCATTTTGGCTGTTTGCTTTCGTGTATTAATTATGGAATAGGTACTCTGTATATTTCGCGAAACTTGTTTACAAATATAGCCATATTTTTGGCACCGATGCAATTTCGTAACATTCCATTTGTAATGTGGGAGCAATTCTAACCAAATTTGTGACATCATTGGTTGAAAGATCAAATTTCGAAGATTTCGAGGTCAAGAAAAATTTTCGATATTTTCCAGATGATTTACAGAGCTGTTCCTGTTCACCTGAATTTTTGTAAAAAGTAATCTTTTGGGTTTCCCAAGTACCATTGCTTCCTACACCCCTCGCTAATATATATTTTTTTCCATTATTTTCAAAAAAAGAGTTTTATTTGAAGAAGAAGGATTATTTGCAAAGCCTTTATTGACAAAATAAAATCACTCAAACAAAAAAGGACTCCTTCGGAAAATACGAGAAGCTGTTTCTGATGGGGTGAGTTTCAAAAGACGAAGTTTAAATACTAATAATTGCTTTGTTTTGGTTTCACTCAGAACTAGTTGGGAATTATTCTGCACGACATGCACATGTTATAAAGGACGTTTTCGGTTTTTCAGAATCGTAATCGAACTGTGTTGACAGCGTTTTGGTTTATTCAGATCTTGCTCTTAAGGAGCAACTGTTGTGGAATTTTGTGATTTGGTTTTTTTGGTTTTTTTGGTTCCCAATCAGTTCAGAATTGGTATTTGAACAGTCCTCCTTCATTTTGTGTGCGCATGCAGTTCTCCCGCGAGCTGAAAAATGACACTGGCTGGGTTCGGTAATTGCATCTGCGAGCAAAAGGACAAAATTTTGACGGACGTCACGTGATCACTTATCTTTTTTCACGTGTCAAATCACGTGACATCTGTCAAATTTTGCTCATTTTGCTCGTAGAGGAACTTACCGAACCCAGCCACTGTTCGCAGAAGCCCATGTGATCTTCGATTTGAAGTTCCAAAACTGATCACGCGGTCCTGTCATCTTTTTACTCGATGAGGAATAACCGAACTCCACTGATGTATTAGGTATTCATGGAGCCCTAAAACTTGAGGTCATTTAAAATATATTAGGATAGGTGGCCTAATCGCCTATCCCTGCCAAATGTAAAAAATATATACCTATTAAAACAAAATTTGAATATTATATTTATATCTATAATGTAACAGTTGGTTGACCTTTCATCTAGTGGGTATGGCAAACATTTTTAAATCCATTGATTTTTTTAAACCTGTCTCGTATCGTTTTTGAGAATATGCATATGCAATATTCTTTTCGCATTGTGTTATATCAAATCTAAAAATGTCAAAGAAAATAGTTAAATGAAAACTCATATCCAAGAAGACAATCTACATCAATGTGACAAAAAATAACACGAATAGGCCTTTGAAGACTTGAAACAGGAAATAGGAATTTCATATTTAACAACAAAATGTATCAAAAAAAAACCAGTTGGTATAGCTTTAAATAGATCACTATCTATACTGCTATCTATAGTTTGGCCTTCGTAGTTTGACTGAAAGTATTGAAATTGAAGTTATAAGATTCATCCTTGGGAAATCCTGAAGACAGTTTTGAAGAACGGGTACCTACTTCGACACGAAACACTTGTAGAGCTATTCCAATACCATCCATAACATAAATCTTGAGTTAGATAATAAAAATATTTGGGGGAAAAAATCTCTAAGCTTTCTGTTTCTATTTGGTGAGAAATTTATGGTTCCTTGTTTCATGAAAATAGTTCAAGCAGATAACCCATTGAGGCCACGTTAGAACATTTTTTTTTTTCTTCTTACGAGACGGAATTAAAAAGAAAGCATTTTTTCAGCAAGATGGCGACGTGGTGCATTTGTCACTACCCGCTCGGAATTCTTCAAATATAAATTTTCCTGAACGATGTAGGTACCTATTGTAGGGCAGGTTCTACAGCATGGTCACATTAACTTTCAAACTGGATGGAAATGTGATTGAAAATATTCGACATCTTACAAATTTAATAAGTATCAGAAAATG